CGCACACCTCTCAATAAAAATGTCTAACAGCTAAAGAACTCTCTGTAGAGCTCAGAGACAGGATTGTGTCAAGACACTGATCTAGGGAAGATTTCAGAAAAAAAATCTGCTGCATTGAGGATTAACAGAAGCATGTAGCCTCCATTATCCTTAATGGAAGAAGTTTGGAACAGCCAGGAGATCTTCCTAGAGTTGTTTTCCTGGCCAAACTGAGCAATCGATGGAGAAGAACCTGGGTTAGAATGGTGAACAAGAAGCTGATGGCCACTCTAGTTGAGCTCCATGATCATGTATGGAGATGGGAGAAACCTACAGAAGGACAAACATCACTGCAACACTCCACCGATCTGGGCTTTATGGTGGTGTGGCCAAACTCAATCCTCTCAGTGAAGATACATGAAAACCCAGTTGAAATTTGAAAAAAAAAAAGGACTCTCATACTGTGAGAAACTAGATTCTCTGGTCTGATGAACCGCAATTCCAAGCAGCTTGTATGGAGGAAAACAGGTACTGCTCATCACCTGCGCAGTACCATCCCAACAGTAAAGTGTGGTGGTAGCAGCCTCATGCTGTGGGGGTATTTTCCAGCATCGGGGACTCGTCAGAGTAGAAGGAAAGCTCAACACAGAAATAGCCTTAATGAAAACCTTGACAGAACATTCAGAACCTGGACTGGGCAGAAGGTTCACCTTCCAGCAGGACTAGACAATGCAAGAGTGGCTTATAGACAACTCTGTGAATGTCCTTGGGCTTGAACCCAAACATTTCTGGAGAAACTTGAAAATGTCTGTCGGCCCCCATCCAACATGACAGAGCATGAGAGGTGAAGAGGTGAGGAGAAGAATGTCAGATAATTGGCAAATGCAGATGTGCAAAGCTTGTCGCATCATATCCAAAAAGACTGGAGGCTGTAAAGGGGCTTCAACTAAGTACCGAGTTTAAGTTGAATACTTATGCGATGTACTTATTTTAGTTTTTTTTCAAAGTTGTCACAAATCAGTTTTTTGCTTTGCCATTATGGTCTATGGAGTGTAGATAGATGTGAAAAAAATATTTTAATGACGTTTAACGTAATGCAGCAACATAACAAAAAAAAAAATCATGAATACTTTCGCAAGGCACTGAATATATATGTTTTTAAAATTTAAATTCTGTCATTATTCACTCACCTGCATTCATTGTTTTTTTTTTCCATACAACAATAATTTGCAGTGTCCATCATGTCTTTCAGCTCCATAAATGACACAGAGATTCTATAAGAGTATCATATATCATAAATGTCGTCCATACAAATTGTATCTCAGTGGAGGTGAAGAAGATCAGTTAATCATGACTGAGATATCAGTCTTTTCAACACACACACACACATATAACTTCTGAAGACTTTTGAAGGCTTATTAATTTTTTTTTTTATTATTCCTTTAAAGTTTTCATTTTATTTTTGAAGCTTGACAGGTGTGGTCACTATAAACTGTCACTGAAAAAATAATCTTTAAAAATTCTTCAATATTCTGTTAATCGTGCATTGATGAGATATTAGTAATAATAATAACACTCTTCTTTTTTTTTAAAATGTGTAATAGAAGTCAAAGCCAGGAGTACAGTATCTTTATGAGGCCACAGGACCGGGTGGGTGCACGTTGCTCATTGAGGTTTTGACTGACAACAACACACGGTCCCATCAAGAAATCAAACGTATCTTGATGAAAAATGGGTTAGTACTGATTTGTACTCGAGATCAAAATCAAGATGTAGTAATAGTATTTAGGCACAACTCAGTGTACTGCTTTTCTCTGTTTGTCCACAGTGGGGCGCTGTGTGAAGGAGCACGCCGGAACTTTGACAGGAAAGGTGTTGTGGCAGCATCCAGAGATGGGGTCTCCTCTGAGAAAGCTCTAGAGCTGGCCATTGAGGCAGGAGCTGAAGATGTGCAGGAGATGGAGGATGAAGAGGAGCGACCCATACTACAGGTCTGAGCACTCTTTCTTAGCAGGATTGTGAAAAAAATTTAGAATTTAAGTATTAAATTCTGCCTTTCAGTTTATAAGTGTGAATTTGAATTGACTTGGCAAACATGCCCCGAAATAATGTAATTTAAATTGAAGAGGATTTTGCTCATTTATTAATTCAAAACAGTCACACAACAGAGGAATTTCATATATTGTAGTTTTGTGACAAATAAGATTGTTAATGAATTTGACTAGTTATGCATATTTATTCCCTGAAATATAGAATGGTTTAATAAGATATATCTGGTCAGGCAAAAAACAAGTTCAATACTCTCCAAATAATTAACAGCCAACAAATCAAGATTTTATATTCGATGTAAAGTGTCACAAAATGTCCATCACAATAATTTCAGATAACTATAAAAATACATATTTTGATTATATTAAGCCATAACCACACACGTTAATTAAATGTTATCAAATTTGTGCAATATAACTGAGAAATTTAATTATTTTAAAAAAAAACACTGGCAGTCAAGGTTTGGAGTAATTTTTTAAATGTTTTTGAAAGACGTGTCTTATGCTCACCAAGGCTGCTGTGAAAATTATTACAATTTAAATGAATTGTTTTGTATTTTAATATATTTTTAAATGTAATTTATTCCTGTGATGGAAAAGCTGAATTTCAGCATCATTACTCCAGTCTTCAGTGTCACATGATCTTTCAGAAATCATTGTAATATGCCGATTTGGTGCTCAAGAAACATTTCTTGTTATTATCAATTATTATGTTGAAGAGTCTTTTCAAAAGACTGGAGTCATGCTGCCTTCACGTGCTATATCGGAATTATTGTAAATACTAGTTTCCTAATCTGAAATTAGATGTGAACGGTCTCTCCAGTCGTATTTACTACTATGAAACTTAGAGATAAATGTGCGTTTACACCATATCGTGATTACAAGATACCAACTTGGAAATATAGCTGCAAGCAACGATTACCGGGGTACAAGCGCTTGAAGACATTTAAGCACATATGAAAAAAAAGACATTGGGCCTCATTCATGAAACATTCGTAAATATTGGAGTAAATTCTGAGAAATTTGCGGATAAAACGGACCTTCCCGAAAACTCTCCTCCGGATTCACAAACGCTTCGTAAACTTCCGATTTGATAGTTAAACATGCGTATGTTAATGAATTCCAATGCACTCGTGCACGCTCATTCACAATTACCATAATCCCCGCCTATAATTACAGCTACGCGAATTGCGTGTCCAGGAACGCAGTGGAATATTCTGGTCTACTTTCTTAGGTTTGGCTCCAGTATATTGCATAAATGCAAAAAAGACTAATAGGCCATATGCCTAACAATAAATATTCAATAACGTGTGTCCACCAAAGCGTCTTCAGTGTCACATGATCTTTCAGAAATCATTGTAATATGCCGATTTGGTGCTCAAGAAACATTTCTTGTTATTATCAATTATTATGTTGAAGAGTCTTTTCAAAACTAGAGATAAAAAACATTTAGTTCAGTTGGATGCTTAATTGTGAACTGAAAGTGCCTGCTCTGCTCCATACAGCGTGCGCTGCAGAGACACAGCACAGGAGTCATGCACAGGACTGGAGTCATGCTGCCTTCACGTGCTATATCGGAATTATTGTAAATACTAGTTTCCTAATCTGAAATTAGATGTGAACGGTCTCTCCAGTCGTATTTACTACTATGAAACTTAGAGATAAATGTGCGTTTACACCATATCGTGATTACAAGATACCAACTTGGAAATATAGCTGCAAGCAACGATTACCGGGGTACAAGCGCTTGAAGACAAGTCAAACAGGCCCACTGAGTTTCATTCCGAGTGACCTCTGTTAACCTTGTCTAATAGGTGCTCAAACTTCATTGACCAATGGCGGCCATGTTTTTTGAGGTATGCAAATGTCCTTACAGACACTTGTAGCACTTGTAGACAAAGACACGGCATACCAATTTTCATGTTGATTGGACAAATGGTTGCATAGTTATAGATATAGTTTTTATGTTTTTTTCCCCTCTTATAGTGCCACCAAGTGGCCAAGCTCAGCATTTTTTTCTAACATAAGTGTTCTGAGTTTGGCAAAGATATCTCATTCCGTTCTGCTCCGCCATTTTAATAAAAGTGGCCCTGCCCCTTTCGAAAGTTTTTGAATTTTACTTGTAGAACCTCTTTGTGTAAAATTAGTTTTAAGAAATTCTCTCAATTGTTAACCCTTCTCTCCCTTTCAGTTTATCTGTGACATTGCGTCCATGAAGGCTGTGCGGAGTGCTCTAGAAGGTCTGGGGGTACACACACTTTCAGCCGGTCTGGAGTTTGTTTCTCATACCCCGTCTCTCCTGACTCAGACTCAGCTAGAGACCGCGTCCACCCTGCTGGATGCTCTCAATGACTGCCCTGATGTGGTCCGGGTATGGGATAACATCCATGCACAGACCTAGAGTTCACAATAAGTCAATTGACAAATGGAACAACTCACAGATAGATGAACTAATCAATGATCTACATGCCTTAACTGAAAAAAATGGACCTGCTTGGCCAAATTGTATTGGACTTTACTTGGATTTTTTGTGTGATGGTAAATGCTTGATTGACCTTGTTGATATATCTTCATCACGGCAATAAAGAAGATATGTTAGTCAGATGTGTATATTTTTGAATAGCGTTATATACTGAATGTTGTGATCATAAACATCTTTGTAATAAGATCACAAATCACAAATGAATGGTGGATATTCATTAGATCACAAATGAATTTTAAGAAATAATTTACTATATTTTTGAAAATCGGTTCTGAATATAAAGAGATAGAAAGGCAATTTTCCCACAACCTGAAAAAAAAAAGAAAGTAAATCATAGTTGCTCTATGCAAATTGTTATTGAACAGTGAGAAGCAGATCGGAATTATTGTAAATACTAGTTTCCTAATCTGAAATTAGATGTGAACGGTCTCTCCAGTCGTATTTACTACTATGAAACTTAGAGATAAATGTGCGTTTACACCATATCGTGATTACAAGATACCAACTTGGAAATATAGCTGCAAGCAACGATTACCGGGGTACAAGCGCTTGAAGACATTTAAGCACATATGAAAAAAAAGACATTGGGCCTCATTCATGAAACATTCGTAAATATTGGAGTAAATTCTGAGAAATTTGCGGATAAAACGGACCTTCCCGAAAACTCTCCTCCGGATTCACAAACGCTTCGTAAACTTCCGATTTGATAGTTAAACATGCGTATGTTAATGAATTCCAATGCACTCGTGCACGCTCATTCACAATTACCATAATCCCCGCCTATAATTACAGCTACGCGAATTGCGTGTCCAGGAACGCAGTGGAATATTCTGGTCTACTTTCTTAGGTTTGGCTCCAGTATATTGCATAAATGCAAAAAAGACTAATAG